CGTCCGCCTCGTCGTCTACATGGAGGGCGCGCGCCCCCCAAACCTCCCGGCGCTCGTGTCGGCGGCGGACGCACGACGCGTGCGCTTCGAGGCCTTCTCTGCGGTGGAGGCGTTGGGCGCCGCGAACCCCGACCTGAGGGGCGAAAAGCCGCGACCGGAAGACACGGCGGTTTTGATGTACACTTCCGGTTCGACGGGAATTCCGAAAGCCGTGCAGATCACGCACGCGAACCTCTTGCACGCCATCCGCGCCTTCTTCACGATCGCGCACGCGCTCTCCCCCGCAGACGTCTACCTGGGATACCTGCCTCTCGCGCACGTTCTCGAACTCGCGGCCGAACTCTTCTTCTTCTCTCTCGGAATGACAGTTGGCTTCGGAACGCCTCTCACGCTCACCGATAAGTCGACAGGCGTCAAAAAGGGCGTCAAAGGCGACGCCACTCTCCTCCGGCCGACCGTTATGACCGCCGTTCCCCTCATTCTCGACCGCATCCGCAAAGGCATCCGCGAACAGGTGGACGCCAGCGGCCACTTCTCGCGCGCATTCTTCGACTTCGCCATCGAATACAAGAAGTTCTGGACCAATAAGGGATTCCAAACCGTGAGTCACGTGACTCTCACTCTCTAAGTCTCTAACTCTCACTCTCTCCGCAGCCAATCGTCGATCGCGTCGTTTGTCGCAAAATAAGCGCTTTGTTGGGCGGAAGGGTCCGCCTCCTGGCCGTGGGGTCGGCTCCGCTCGCGCCCGAAACGCACGAATTCATCCGCACGTGTCTCAACGTGCGCCTCCTCCAAGGTCAGCCCTCCCTGTCCTCCTCTAACCCGCTCTCTAACCCTTTCCCGCTCTTAGGCTACGGACTGACGGAAACGACGGCTTCGGCCACTCTTATGGATCTCGAGGACTTGAGTGTGGGTCGCGTGGGACCCCCGCTGGAGGGCGTGCGTCTCAAACTCGTCGACTGGCCGGAAGGCAACTATCGCGTGCAGGACAAGCCGCACCCCCGCGGCGAGATCGTGCTGGGAGGCGCCTCCATCACGAACGGCTACTACAAGAACGCGGAGTTGACGCGCGAGTCGTACCGCGAAGAGGAGGGCGTCCACTGGTTCCACACGGGAGACATCGGCGAAATCCTGAGCGACGGAAGCGTTCGCATCATTGACCGCAAGAAGGATTTGGTGAAACTCCAGTTCGGAGAATACATTTCGCTCGGAAAGGTCTGTCTCTCTTTGCGTCGTCTTTGCGTCGCTCTGTCTAACCCTCTGTCGTCTGCGCGCAGATCGAGGCCGAACTCAAGTCGTGTCCGTTCGTCGACAACATCTGTTGCTATGGAAACTCATTTCAGACGTATTTAATTGCACTCATCGTTCCCAACGAGAAGCAAATGCAGGCTTTGGCGCAAAGACTCGCAAAACCCGCGCGCCTCTCCTTCAAGGACTGGTGTCGCGACCCGCAGATGGCCGCCGAGGTGTTCGCCGCCGTCCAGCAGTTCGGCCGAAAGTCTGGTCTCATGAAAGCGGAAATTCCGTCGAAGATCCTGTTGTGCGCTGAGGAGTGGCTGCCGGACTCGGGTCTCGTGACGGCGGCTCTCAAACTGCGGCGAATAAAAATCCAAGAGTTCTATCAGATGGACATCGACCGCCTCTACGGTCTCGCGGACTCGAAGTCCACTTAATTTTATTGTAAATTCTTGTAATTAAAGGTTTTATTTAAAAATATTTGCGATTTCCTGATGACATCATTCCGTAGTACGCGCTCTGATTGGTCGCGAACTCCATTTCTGTTCAAACAACACACCAATCATTAGTGTTAGTGTTAGCGGCGCTCTTGTGATACTCACTGCCCATTTGCGGCGTATATGTGACGCTCTTGTAGTCGCGCTCGTCGTGCGGCTGTCGTCCAGTCGTCGTCGGAGGTGTCGTCGTCTGTTCGTGCGATCGCTTCCGTACGACAGGCGGCGCTTTCGTCGCCGCAAACGTCGGCTTATATTGCGGTTGAGAGGTCTGCGCGCGAAAGAAGGCGTTCGGCGCGAAGGGCGGCGCAAACGGGAGGCCGAGAGGGGGTGCGGGCGGCGGGAGCTCTGCGGCCGCGTAGAGAGCGTCGGCCGACCACTGGAGGTCTCGATTGCGGCGCCGAATGACGTCTTCGTTGAGAACTTTCTTGAGTTGAGAGAAGAGGAGATGTTTTTGAGTCTTGAGTTCCGAGAGTTTAGTCTCGAGTTTCTGGAGCTCGAGCCGCACCTCCGCCAAAGACATCTTCATCTTCACGCGCTTCATCTCTTCCTCGCGCTTCCGCTCCTCCAATGAGATCGAAGTCTCCATTTCTGGCGACAGACGGACAGTGAGTCACGTGATTGGACGCAAACAGTGGACACAAACCTCTCTTCTTCTTCAGCCGCTGACGAAGAATATAATTCTTGACAAAAGTCTTGTTTTCGTTGCTTTCGTTCATTTTGTTGTCGTCCTGTCGTGGCGTCTGCGCAGTCGTCGTCTCTCACCTCAGATATGAACCAAAAACAAAAATTCCCGAAAATCCAAGACTCGAAACACTTTCACTACAATTACGTCCGTCTCGTGAGTATCTCGTCGTCTCTGTCGTCGGCTGTTGTCTCACTCGTTGTCTGTCGTCCTCTTAGAGCACGCTTTCCGTCCATCCGATTGTCGTCGACGACACTCACGTCGTCTGTCGCGTCACAAGCGGTCGCTCGTGGACTGTAAGCCTTCCAACACTTCCACCACTTTCTCAACCCTTTGTTCCGCAGATCCGCCGATCGCTCGAACAGTTCCGTCGTCTGGACGCCCTTCTGCACGCCTGTGTCCTCTCGCGGGACTTCTCGCGCCTCTCGGCCCCCATCGCCCTCCCAGACGTCCACCACTACTGCCAGCGCCTGAACGCCGTCTTCGCGACCGACGTCTCGGCGCTCAACTGTCTTCTGCTTCTCAATTGGTTGGAATGCGATAACAGCGGACATCACATCATATGCGACGTCAGTCTCGTCTCCGCTGTCGTCCTGTCGTCCTCTCACTCCTCTCTTTCTCTCCACAGGAATCCGAAGTCAACTGTCGCTCAATTGGCGCCGCGTTTGTCGTCAAACACTTCGAGACGTCGCGCGCTCTCAACGCCAAACTCGAAGTGCTGTTGAGTCTCGAGATCGGAGACCTCGTGTCCATCATTGAGTTCGACGCCATTCGCGAACTCGACGACAACAGAGACGACACTCAGACGACGACAGACACACGTCTCTGGTCTAAAGGCAAGAAAGGCGTTCAGGTGAGCCTTCCCTCCGCCCTCTCACCCGAACACCGCCTCTGACGCCCTCTCCCACCCTCAGGTCGGCTTCTTTCCGTCGGAATGCGTTCAAGTGATCGACAGAAACATCGATTCGTTTGCCTTCAAAGTGTTGGCGACGACGACGACGACTCAGCGACGACCGGATGACGACAGCCGTCGTCCCACGAGTCCTCTTGTGTGGCGAAAGAGCGTCAAAAAGGACAACAAAATCTCCGCCTTCTTCCACAAGTGGCGTCCCGCACGCCTACAACTCGAGTTCGTCCCGCTCTGTCCGCCGCAAGTGTTCGGCGCCGACCTCTGCGAACACCTCTTCGACAGTCGTCACGAGATTCCCGAAGTGTTGCGCATTTGCACGCAATTTATCGAAAGACGAGGATTTCTGGACGGCATTTACCGGCTGTCGGGCATCGCTTCCAATATCGCCAAATTGCGCCAAACCTTCGAAGAGGAGGAGACGCCCGATTTGGAGCCCATTTCGGACGTCCATTGCGTCTCTTCGCTCCTCAAACTCTACTTCCGCTCTCTTCCTAACCCTCTCCTCACCTTTCATTTGTACGACGCCTTTGTGGCCGCCATTCGCGACACGACAGCCAAAGCACGACGTCTGTCGCTCATCCGTCGTCTCGTCGCTCGTCTGCCGCCTCCGCACGCGCGCACTCTCTTCGCTTTGATGCGTCATTTGAATCTCGTGTCAAAAGCCGCGCACTTGACGGGAATGACCGCCAAAAACCTGGCCATCGTTTGGGCGCCGAATCTGCTGCGTTCGCGCGATCTCGACAATCACACTCTTGTCGGCGATTTGGCGGCGCTTCAAGTGATTGGAACGCAAGCAGTGCTCACGGAATACCTGATCGCCAACTTTGACGACGTCTTCGCCGCCGAACGCCAGCCGTGAGTCCTCCCGTCCGTCCGTCACGTGACACTTGCTTTACACTACTTTCTCTTTCCCGCAGACGTCCACCGAAGCGGTCGTCTTGTCGTCACTCGACGTCCTTTTGTCGTCGAATGTCTCAAAAGCAGCGTTTGATTCGTTGCAAGAGTTTTAACTCCTTTTTCGCCAAAACCCCGAAAGACGTCCCAAAAGAGGAGTTTTTCCTGAAGTTCGCCGAAACGCAAACTCTCGACCCTTTAGTTGAACGCGTTGCGCCCCAATTCTCGACGGACTCCTTTGGCGTCAATGGCGTCCACTTCGCGACGCAATGGCGTCACAGACGACCCGTCGTCTCCACGTGTGCGGCGATGGCCTTGAGTTCGGTGCGCGTGACCGACGCGGTCAGGGTTTGCAATGACGTCACCGAAGAGAGTGTCTCGCGATCGCAGAGAGAACGCATTGAACGCATAAAAGCCGAGCGAAGGCTTCAATTGCGACAACAGTTCGACTCAAAGCCGACGCCAACGCCCAGAAAGACGACCGGCGTCTCCGCTATGGCCGCCAAATGGCGACAAATCGCGCCCAAAGTCGACACCAGGCGCGCGCCGCAGACGACTCCCGTGCCAACGCCGCGCCGCCGCAGTCTTGATGTGACGACGACCTCAACGACAACGACGACGACAACATCGCGGACGACAACAGCGCCGACACTGAGAGCGGAAGCGCCGAAGTCGAGTCAAGTGACGATAACTGCGCTGAAAACCAAAGGAAACAAACGAAACAACAGTCGAAAGGCTTTCGAATCGAATTTTATTTAAACTTTTGTACAGTTTTTGACATCAAATAAATCTTTCTCTCAATTTCCGCGTCTCTCTCGAGCTGTCGTCGCATTCGGTCCGACAGTCGCTTCTTGTCGTCCTTTCGGTCGTCTTTCGACGACTCAAAGCCCGGAATATTTGGCGACACTTTCGACGCGCTCTTCTTCGACGACGACATGCGAAACGATATTTTTTTCGACGACTTCTCCACTTTTTTGTACTCTTTTTTGTCTTTCTTTCGTTTCTTTTGACGTCTTCTGCGACGCCTTTCGCTCGAAGTCGACGACGAACTGCTGGTCGTCGACGTCGTCGTCGTTGTCGATGATGTCGTCGAGTCGGCGCTCGAAGACGACGACGACGAGCGACGCGCTCTCCGTTTGTGTTGACTTTTCTTCCCTTTTACTTCGATCTCTTCTTTTGGGACCGTTTCGTGACTTTTCGTGAGTTTTTCGTGACTTTTGGGGAAAAGAAGTGAAGAAAAGCTCTTTTCCTTCAAAACAAAAGAATTCCGAAATTCGACTAAACTTTTGACGCAATTATTGTACGAAATGTTCGCGAATTGAGTCAAAGATCCCGAGTTTTGCTCCGTTTTGGCGACGAATTGACAAATGAGTCGCTTCTCCGTCGCCAACACGTGGACGACAGCGACGACGACGAAGTCCTTCACGTCAATCACTTCTCGCGTCGTCTGAAGCGTGGCTTTAATGCGAAGATCTGAGAGAAGTTGCGATTCGTTGCGAATGAGAGTCAAAGCGAATCCGGAATCGCTTTTAACGACCACTTGTGCGACGACGCGGTCGC